TATACCGTTGCTATGCGGGGCTCGGCAGCTTGGCTTAATTTGCTTTGCCGCACTCTGGCGGGGCTCTCTCTACCTTTGCATCTGCTGTGCCTACACGTGGGTTGGAATGGGGCTCTCAGGGACACCCTATTGTTTTCCCATGGCTTAGTGGTGGTGAAGTCACTCAGAGAACCCAACCGTTTCCTCTTCCACCTGGAACAACCGTGTAGTGGTTTTATTTGAAGAGTTTTGTATGCTTTGGCCTGCAAAGCCAGGGAGAATAAAAACCCTAGACATATACTGAGTTATTAAGTACTTCTTGAGTTTATTCATTCACCAAATATTTATTGAATGCAGGGGCCCAGAAGCTAAGTTTGCGGTTCTACATGCTTGCAAGTTAACAGCACCCCGTCACCCGCCGTGTGTCTGTTTGCAAAGGCTGTGTGGTGGCCAGGCAGTATTTACACATGGTTAGTTACTGAAATTTGCCTTAACACCTGAATAAAATCATTAGCAAAAATGCCTGGGCCAGACAAATCCAGACAGTTTCGTGTTTAAGACCTGGGCTCGCACAGGAGGTGCTGTGAGTCAGGCATCTGTCTTTCCTTTCCACTTTCCCTTTCTCTTTCTCCCTCCTTCTCTTTTTTTCCTCTCTTATCTTCTGTAGTTGTCTCAGTTTCGGTTTTATTAACTGTGCTGCGTTTTCTTTTTTTCTGAGCCCCCAAGGACAGTGGCAAGAGACTAAAGAAAAGCAAAGTGGCCCTCATGGCCCCTGGTCTGCAGAATGTGTGCTTTACTGTCATTTCTTCACTTTTAGTGGCTGTGCAAGAAGGAGATGGGAAGTAGAGAGGCACAGAAGGAAAAACCTACAGCCAGGTCCTCGTGGGGGCGGGGCTGGGGGTGGGGGGACTGCTCGGCATAGCTGCTGAGACTTGTTGAAAGCTGTAGAACTGAGGACAGGAGGATCGTGTCAGGCAGGCCAGGCGTTCTGGGGGAGCCTGTCGGAGAGCAGGGGAGGGCCAGACACAGACCCCTCTCCCTCCCCAGTCACCTGCCCTCATCACCCACCCGCCCACAGAAAATGCCATAGGGCAAAATGTTGAAATAAGAGAGGAATGTCCTAAATAAAAAAAAAACGTAAATGCCTCTCCAGGAGTTCAAATAAAGTTTCATTTTAAAAGGAAAAGACATAAACTCATCACCTTGGTTTATTACTGAAGGGCTTTTGAACTCCTCAGAAGGGAACACTATAAACTCATGAGAGAAAAATGATTTATGATCCCCTCCTTATACTCGGTCTGCTTCTGCAGGAGGCAGGGCGGACATAGGATCAGCGGGGGAGGCAGAGCCGGGGTGAGGGGGCACCCCACAGGGGTGCGGCAGGCCGGGGCGCCGGGCAGGCCTGCCCCGCACTGGGCCTGAGGCGAATCTGCCCAGCCTTCCAGGCCTTTCCTTTTCACTTATGTGAAGAGGCTATTCTGGGCTCCCTGCCCTTCTAGCACTTTGAGCTTCTGTATCATCTTGAAAATCTTCCCTTGACATTCTAGTTTGGGAGATGCTAGTTGCAGCTTTGAAAGACAGATTCTTACCTATGACAGTGTAAGTCCTAGGAAATTAAAATATAATAAAATTGACATTTCTGAGCAGCTTGCTATTCAAAGGTCTTCAAGGGTCTTGAGCCATCTCAAAGTGCAGGAGTCTGTGTTTAACCCTTCAATGCAAACAGCGTTTATTAAGCATCTTATGGGACTGGTACGAATTTTGAAGCAACGTTGACTTTAATAGCTTCTGCCCTCCGTGACCACTTTATGGAGAGCCTCACGGCAGGGAACACACAAGGTGTGCTGGAGTTCCCACCCAAGGCAGCCGGGCTCAGGTTTTATGAGTCCAGGCAGCATAAACCTCCCCACCTCAACAGCCCACAGGGGAATGGAGTCTTGGGGAGAACCCTCAAAGACACGGTAGCGAACAGGCGTGCGCGTGGCTCTTCCTGGTACTTAGGAGGACAGAGTAGGAAATTAATGCAGAGACAAGAGAGACAGGGAATTTCAGGTCAGTCTCCCAGCTTCAGCCGAGTGACCTCAGAAAGGTCACTTCAGTTCTCAGGGCTTTATGTCCTCGCTGGGGCTCATGCTGCCTTTGTCATTGTAATGGGGATTCTGTGAGATACCTGGGGCCACTCCCGCACAGAGCCGCGCTCGCGGTAGATGCCCAGTGAGAGGACAGAAGCAGCCGTCCCGTGTGGGTGCAGCATCTCCTTTCCTCATCACACCAGCTCTGAGATGGTGTCCGGATCCCCATTTTGTGACCAGGAAGTCAGTGCTCTGCAGAACCTGGAACAGCGGCCCCCACAGGGCTGAGCTGGGCTGAGCTGAGCTAGACTCTTCTACGGCCCCCTCAGCACCACTTCCTTCCCTTGCCTTCTTCTGTCTCCACCAGTTCTTCCAGGTAAAGATCGGATGCTTCTCAGGAGTCAGCGGCTTGGTTAGGACTTTGGTTCTGCTTAACAGAGACCCTGCTAGAGCTGCACTGAGCCAGAAGGGGAATTTGCTTTTGGGGCTCCTGGGTGGCCCCAGAGACATCACGATGGGGGTGCCACTGCACTTCTAGAACAGCCGACTACAGGCTGACTGCCGGAGCCCCTCTCCAGCCTTCTCTTCTGTGCCTGCTCTTTACTCCCCTCTCTTCCCACTCACTTGGCAGGAGATGCAGCCAGCCCTCCAATATCCATAGGCCACACACACTCTTAGTTTCAAACCTAAAAGATTCCAGAAAAGGGATTTGTTGGCCCATCTTCAATCAGGTGCTCCCCTTTAGTCTGGTCAGCTGTGGTCCGGGGCCAGGAGCACCCCGGAACGTAGCTTGCTGCCCAGCCATGTGTAGGAAGTGGGAGGAAGATGTGCTCTCTGGAAAGCTGGAGGGCCGCTGTCCTGGGCTACCTTCCTAAGCAGACCCCCTAGTCACCAAGTCCTGTATGTGATCACAAGCCACTAGGTAATGGCCTCAGTTTGTCCCGAGTCATCCATAGAGGCCCCAGGTGGAAGGGACTTGTCTGGTCCATGGATACGGAGACGAGTCAGTTCCTCTTCTTGCCACCCCCTGGCACAGAGCAGTTGTGAGTGAGGAGAAGTCCACAGGCTAGAGGGCTCAGGCAGGTCTTACAGAGAGGGGCTGTATGAGACAGGGTGAGCCGGGGGAATAACGGAACAGCCCGGAAAGAAAGGGAGCAGCAAGTTCTACAACGAGCTTTGAGACTTGCTGGGGAAGGAAGAGGCTTTCAGTGGAGAAGTCTGGTCTTCGTGCCCTACGTAGCTGGGGCCCCTGCGGGTGTCTGACCCAAAGGCAGGAAGATGTGCCTCTGGGGACGTTCGTTTGTTGGATGGCGTCTAGGCTGGTTGGAGAGGGGAGGATGTAGCTACGCTGAACTGATGGAATGTAGTCCCGTCATGAATGACGACTGCTTCTGCTGAGTCGTGGTGGAAGGCAAAGCCTTTCCCATAGGACGTGTTGACCGGTGAAAACAGAGACCAGATCCTCCTTTGCACATCAGGCTGCCCCCAGGGAAATTTCTTAATTATCTTCCAAAGGACAACTCCCCAAATGGAGAGTTTGGGTAAAGGAAAAACAAACTGTTATTTATATCCTCTTCATG